GGACAGGAGGGGGGGGTGGCCCAAGCCTCGGGGTTCGGCTCCAGCGTTTTGTGGCTGGTGTGTTTGCAGGTCAGTCCAGAACAAACCTGGTGAAGGTCGCGGTCCCAACCGTACCGCCGCAGGACACGGCCCTTCTGGCCCTGACCAGCAGCGCCCTGGTCATCATCGTACTGGTGCTTCTGGCACTCTCCATCATCTACTGCAAGCGGTTTTGGAAGAGCCAGTGCCAGCGAGGTGAGTCGATGCCTGCAGCGCTTCTCTTCTGTCTCCCTTTGCTGTTTGCGGGGGCCCGTGGCTCCCTCCTCGTGGGGCAGAGCATTGCCCCCAGTGTTGCTGATCTTGCCGCGTACGGAGACCCACGCGCCCCTTTGCTTGTACAGGATAAAGCCCTCATCCTGCTGTTTATGTCTGCAGGGCCTCTCTTGTGCCTTGCCTGCCCAAAGGCACGGAGGAGCCTTGCTCCTCCCTGGTGCCATGGGAGGAGGAGGAGGGGAATGCCATTTCACAGTCTGAACCAGCCGCCCCATCTTCCTGGGGTTCCTCTGGGGCAGGCGGAGGCCAAGCGGCGCTTTGCAGGGCAGGACCGTAGCACGGGTGAGGGAGGGGGGCAGTAGGTTTGGTGGCTGGGGTTGGGGCACACTGGCATCCAGCAGCGTGCCCGGGAGCTGCTGGCCCCCCTCCTTGCCGGTGGCTGGGGACGTGCTGGGGAAGGAAGCCAAGCCTTCGCTCAGACTGCTTCTCCTCTGCCCTCCAAGTCTTCCTGAGGACTCAGAACTTCTCGGGCCAGCGAGCAATGTTCCCGACGGCGGCGGCGCCTGGCAGATTCCTGTGCGAGGAGCAGATGTCTGGTCCCTGCTGCCTGGGTGTGAAGAACCTGAGCCCCTGCTACAGGCAGGCAGAAGGTACCTGCTCTCCTCCTGCCGCCTTCCTCTTCCTCGGCGGGGGGGCGGGGGGGAGGGTGGTGCTGGGCTCCAGCTCGCGCGGTCCTAGGACCGACTGAGGTGCAGGAAGGATGGAGCTGGACAGTGTCTGAGCTCCACCAACATGAAATCTGGGACCTCTCTTAATAAACGCTTGCAGACCTCCTACCAGAAATGCTCACGCACGGCCCCTGCGGCTCCTGACCCCCCCAGCCCACCCCTGCTCTCCCTGTGACTGGGCAGGGATCGACCCCGCTCAAGACTTTGCAGAAAGGCACAAAAGTGGCTTTGATCAGTGGTGGCACAGGGGACCGGGGTCTGGCCCCTGGCAGGGTGCTCCCCGCTCTGCCCGTGGGCCCTGGGCCGGTGGGTTTAACGTCGGGGCTGGCAGCCCCCCGGCAGGGGCCAGGCCAGATCCCGGGCTTTGCTGAGCCGTGCCATGTTCTGGTTTCAGGCCCCGTGGAAGCGGTGCAGTTCATTTCAGACGGGGAAGCCGTGGGCCTCCAGCTCCCCTCTCTCCAGCCAGAGATGGACTTGCCAC